ATGAAGACTAAATTCATGAGATACATGAAGAATACGGGAGCACTGGTGAGACCAAAAGACATGACTAGGTACTCGTACAGCTCGTACCTAGTAGAGAAAGCTGTCTTTGGTATATCTTGGGGTCTGATCTTAATTTGATGATAACCTGAACGAATGTCAATCTTGGAGAATATCCTTGCACCAGCCAATTGATCGAACAAAGTATCAATACAAGGTAAGGGATACTTGTTCTTAATGGTTACCGCATTGAGAGGGCGGTAGTCCACATACATCCGAAGAGTGCCATCCTTCTTCTTCACAAAAATGGTCGAACAACCCCATGGTGAAGAGCTAGGACGGATGAATCCCTTGTCCAACAACTCCTCTAATTGCTTCTTTATTTCTGCTAGTTCCTTCGGGGCCATGCGGTATGGACGCCGTGAAATCAGAGCAGTGCTAGGCTCTAACTCAATAGTAAACTCCACATCTCTGTCTGGTGGTAACCTAGGTAGATCTTCAGAAAAGATATCCGGAAACTCACAGACCACAGGAATAGAGGCAAGATCAGAAGAGGCTTCAACATGAGCAACAACTGGTGAGGATGGCTCGGAAGGCATAAGAAGAGACATCCTATCCTCAGAAGAAGGAAGTCGTAGCTCCACAACTCTCTGCTTAAGGTTCATGACCACCCATAAACTCTCAACTAGTTCATACCCAAAATTGCATCTATGCCCTGCCTAGGCAGCACCATGAACTGAAGACGGTAAGTGTGAGTGGCTAACACCAATTTGACTGTGTTCGTCCGGGTATTAACGCATAAATGCGCCCCCGGAGTGCTGATTTTATAGGCAATAGGGATAGCCATAAAAGATATATTGTGCTTCTGTACGAACCCTATGCTCATGAATGAATATGATGCACCAGAATCAAACAATACATAGGCTGGATGGGAATCAATGGTAAACATACCAGCCATAACAGGTTCATTCTGCAAGATTTCGTCAGCCTCGGTGAAGTTGACTTGCCCAGAGCAGCTCACTGGCACCTTCTTCTTGACGATCATCCTCTTGACCAGTTGGGAGTTAGCTGAAGGCTAGGAAGAGTGTGCAGGCTGGTTCTGCGAACACTCTCGAGCATAGTGGCCCTCCTTGCCACACTTGAAGCAAGCACCAGACTTGTATTTTTCGGTGGGCGACTGTGGTCCCGGCATTGAAGACGGTGACGGCTTTCCATCACTGGCTGCGCTCCCTGTCTCGATCGGGCTAGGGTTTTTCGGTGGGCGACTGTAGCTCGGTTCAACCTCGTGAAAAGAGCCACCGGCCCCCACCTCTATATATAGCGCAGTGTGACGGGGACCCACCAACCATATAGGGTTGGGCGCCCCCGATCAGGGCACGAGATCAAGACCCAGTCCGGCCCAACGGCCGGACTGGAGGAGATCAACACTAACATACCTTTCTCCCATGGGGGTCAAATTACACCTGATGATCTAGAGGCATGCAATAAACATCAAGGACGGACATGACTTTGACAACAGCAATTTCATGATCCAAATCATATTCTTCCAGAAGCCGTATGACAACATTTCCTTCATGGCGTACTTCAATATATATTGATAAAAGCAAAACAGCACAGAATGGTCATGGTTATGTAAAGTAAACAATAGCAATTAGTAAATGATTATCAGCAGCACAAACCTCAAGCTTATTATCATGGCCATCTGTTTCAGAATCATGTAAAGCTCTCTTGCTGAAAACTTGGCTGGTTGCCAGCCAGGCTGGCTGGTTTCTGAAGCCACGAAAACTTCATATGTGAATTTTCTCTCACAACAACACTGCCGAACAGGCGTTCTGAAGTTACACTGGCGTTCTATAACTATGCCAGAGGATGCATAGCACACTGTGTCCTACAAGATCATAATTTATATCATTGACAACTAATGATTTTTAGACATATATATTTTTGAAAAAAAATTAGGGGCAGTACAATAGAATAATCACCATCGGACAAAGCAATTGAGACAACACTTCTAGACAACTTTGATGCAACTTCCTCACTCAGCTCAGTCCAGATATCTTGATTGTCCCAACGTAAGTCACCAAATTAAGAAAACACGTTATTACAAGACACACATGAGCACTCAAATAGAGCCATAAATAAATAAATAAATAACATGAAGAAAAAGGAAGAACCAGCGGACCTGAAATCAACAAGTCAGTTGCCTCTTCTCCACTGCAAGTTCTTTTATTATAAGCTGAGAACAGTCGCAATAAGATCATCGGCACCCCTCTTATTACTTGGCAGCATCTTTCCAAAACTGGAGCAGAACTAAAGGCAAAATGTGGGTCATGCATAACCAGTAAAGCAAACGTTGCTGGGTCAGTGATTCAATTTTTATTTATGTCATACTACTTTCATAAAGCAAACCAAAAGAAATGCACCGTCAACCTGATGGTTGTTAGTTTCTCGCTTTTCAAATAATAACAACCAATATAGAGCACAAAAAAAATCATATTTCATATTTGATATGGAATTAAATTAAAAGGTCAAAAAAATAAATTCCGAACTATGGACCAAGGAACGAGCAAGGAGAACAACAACGCACTGAATGGCAAGCAGGTTTCCCCAATAGAAACTGCAGCGGCAGCACACCCAAATCAGTAGATCGGAGAGAGTCTAAGACGAAGAGAAACAAAAATGATGTGGACTCGAGAGGATCGAGTGGGGTGGGAAGACCGGGATCACCTCGATCCTCACCGTAACCGGCGGGATGGATGGATTGAACCGGGCAGCCAGGCACGTACGTCGTCGAGCGCGTCCACCGCAATACGAGAGAGAGAGAGAGAGAGGTAGTGCTGGTGATGTGGCAGGAGGAGCGCGATGGAGTTGAGCAGGACCACGGACTTGGATAGGAACGATAGGCGTTGGGCGGGGTCAATCGCGAAGCGAGGATTCGCGGCGGTGGCGGCGGTGGGAGGAAACAAGACTTGTGGGATTATGGACGGAACAACCGAGGGAGAGAGGAGCACGAAGCCCCCCCCCCCCCCCAAAAAAAAAAGAATGAATGGGAAGTTGCCGTTCGGGCCTTGGCAGCACAAACGGACTTCTCAAATTCGTCCCGGGGCTTTCAGCATAAACCCTAGCTAGTCCCTCTCCCAATGCCGCACCCCTCCTTTCCGTCTCGCCGCCGCCTCCGATCCGATCCCTTTGCATTGCACCGCCGGCCCGCGCTCCTTCCGCTCACTCCGAGATCTTGCCGGCTGACCGCGCGGTTCGACGGTTGTCAAGGCCCTCCCCCCTCAGCCTCAGCATGCATGGAGCCCCTGAGTTTGATCTCGTCTCTCTCTTCGTTGTTTGGTCTCTTCGTCTCTCCCATCATTGCGGCACAAACTAGATGGTGTTACTTTAGGGTGCCAAATATCTTAATTATTATCTTTCCATTTCCATAAAATTTGAACTTTTGTAATTCTTACAATTCCTCTCCTTTGTTTTGGCCTTTTGGGTAGATGTAAACGGCTGCAGTGTACCAACATAAATAAAATACATCAATTTTCTCAGTAAATCTGCAGCTTTATTGGGAAGAGGATCGCAGTAGATTCTGCTACTTTACTCAACAAGGTGTCTGAGAGCTCCATCGATTTTTTCTTTTCTTTTGAAAATTTACTGAACCCCGCATCTTCTTGTATTAGACACTAAAGTGACAATTTGTTTCTTGTAGGGTTTATAAGTTATTACTGAGGCACATTATTTTTTTTTGGCGCTGAATATGATGACAGAGACTGTGATTCACCGACAGATTATCATACACTAGTTTGAAACCCCAGGTACATGAGCCTTAAACAATGGTTATATTCTCTAGTACTAAGCACATGTTTATGTATTCTATTCGGATGTAATGCTTCCTACTACACCGTAAAATATCCACGCTTATTCCTCCCGAGGTGCAAATTTCTATTTCCAATCCACCTCATTCTCTTGTATCAGTGGATGCCAGCATCTGAGCAAAGTCTCATGTTTATGATTGTTTTAGGTCATTATGGTACATACATAATTGTTTCTGTAATGGATTTACATATAGTTTAGTATTATCTTTTAGTAGTATTCATGTTCTTCTAGTCTCAAGGATTCATCCGTCCTAGCTAGCTCCATTGTGATAGCCGGATATGTGGATACTGACCTTATATACACCTTATCGTGGCCGCTTCTGAAGTCACCTGGCCCTCTCTGGCATCTTCACAACTCCTATGTCACTTTTGCAATACAACTGATATATACTTTTGTTTGAAAACGACCTCCAAGAATTCAAGTCCTATTTTTCTCTATTTTTTGAGGTCAACTACAGGAGATCAAACCGATCCCCACCTGATTTAATTTTCACAGATCCCGACAAGCTGGTGGGTAGAAGGGTGCAAAGCACCTATTACAGAGATGACCCTTGGAGGTCACAGAAGTACATGACATAGGGGAAGAGAGAATGGATACAACACCAGCAAAAACAAAACAAACAACAATATAACATGGTATAGCTACAGGCTCAACCTACATCCAAAAGTAGTGTGAGCACCACATTCCTGACCTGTGCCACCACCAAAGATAGACTCTGAAGATCTCTAACCACAAGCAGGTGTAAGCGAGTCGGGTCCGACAGACGACAATTAGAAAGTTGTAAGGCACTGAGTCAGAACAAATCGGCGACAACCGTGAGTTGCATCACCTATGAGAGCATCTGGGTTCCGACCAACGCCATTTGGGGGAAGGAAGTCTCAAAGGGGGAGGAACGTCAGGAGAAAACGAGGAGATCCATAGAAGAGATCAAGGTTCCCGCAGCCCAGCATATGATGAGGCGAAGCACTCAAATAAACTAGAGGACGACAGAGCAAGCCATTGACGGCGAGCACCTGATAGCAAGTAGTGTGTGCAAAAACCAAGGAGTAGGAAGGTAGTCAGACAGATAACAACATGGAGAGAGAGAGAGAGAGAGAGAGAGAGAGAGCAACCAAGGAGAGCATAAGGACACGGACATGCTGAGCGCGGATGGGAGCAGGTGTGGAGAGCACAAGGACACGCCGGTCGTGAATGGGAGCAGGTGTGCTTGTATCGATGCCTTCAAGAAGGAAGTGACGCCCACGGGCGCCACCTTCGACGATCAAAGCACCAGGCTCGTAAGGGCTTTCGTCCCGAGACCTGCCTAGCGGGGGTGCAGCCAACACAGATTGATGGATGCAACAACTCGGAGTGGTCTTCGCAATTTCCAAGGTCAGGAATCTACAGCGACGCCTCCAGGGAGGGAAATTACGCCAAATGTGCCATCATCGCTGGTCTGGATCAACAGCCAAACAGGGTTTTCACCCAGATCCCATACACATATGGGGAGCAAGCCAAAGTTGCTGACAACGAGGAGCCGGAGGGGAGCAACGGTGGCAAAGCGCATCCCCAGATCCGACGGTAGAGGGGCCTTCCTTTGTGGAGCGGCCGCCAGCCTGTGTGATATGTTATGATAAAATGGTGCTAGCTGTGGGCTGTTGCTTTGAATCAGGTATAGTAATGGTTACAAGTAGGAAATACATCCAAGACTACAAAGAGGTGTCAAGCGATTTGGATTGTCAATATCTTTGGTACACTACATGTAAAACCACTAAGGTAGCACCCTTGCCTTTTCTTTTTTAATTGCATACTCTAACCTACCCTAACTTATTTGGGACTGAAATGCTCTGTTGTTGTTGTATTTTTATCATACTTGGCACACAATTGACCTCTCCATATAACCTGGTTAGGCTGGGATTGGAGGCCCCCTTATTGATTTGGATGGAAAATTTATGGGAATCAATTACTATGATACAGAAATAGGAACCCCGTTCCTGTTTTTTGTTGATATCTGGGAAATTTTGGGTGATTTGAAGACAAAAAAGTAAGTGTGGATTTCTCTTTTGGTATTCAAGTTGTTATGTTAGTGCTGGTATATACAGGTTTAGTTTTGCACATGACTGCAAGAATTGTTTGGACATTTGATTGATCAATAATCTAGTTGGAGGTAAAATTAACATAATGTTCTATTAAATCTTGTATTTTGCGTGTTTGACAGGGCGATGATTGGTGGTCATGAGGGCCCTCTGAGACATGACAACGGACCACCAAACATGTATGTAGATACATCTCATCGATCTCACTATGATTATGTAATAACCATATATTGTTTAGAAACTTGCTGACCTGATGATGACGAGGGAAAATATATCGTTGAATGGCAGCTGGATATTGCCTGCCTGATCCAAGGTGATACGGATGAAGATGAAGTTGAAGATTAATGTGCAGCCCTAGGCAGCAACAGCAACAGCAACGGATTAGGATAATTGCTTACTGCATACTAGTAGCCTTCGTATTTTTTGGGGGATTAGTAGCCTCGCTGCATGCCGTAAGCTTGTTTTAAGATTGGATTGGAATCTCTGTAGTATCTTAATAGGATATTTGAACTGCTGTCTGTCACTAAGATATTTTTTTGGTTGATGCTCCTTGCTCGAGAAACAAGACATTTACTACTAGTCAATTTTGCCCCAACGCTCGCGTGACCGTGCGCACAGTAACATTTGCGTATTTACTTGTTTTATATAATTAACAAAAGTATCCTGACATCGGGTTTTTTTTTTGGTTCCTGCACTTTTTAGACCGACAACCGAAACCGGTTCTCGGCTCGGTGTTCGGTCGAAAAACCGTCTAACCGAACGGTGTGTGACCTCCGAAGGAAACTGTGCTGTCCGCCTTCCTCTCCCCGCTTCGATGTGAAGCCCACCTGGCCACCTCGGCTCACCTCAGGGAGGCATACGAAGCCACCCCACCCGCACTCGGCCCGGCCATCTCCAAACCAAACCCTAACCTTATCTGCAGACTGCAGCGGGACCGGCGGACGGGCGGCTCTGAGCGGCTGGGCGCTTGGCTGTGCGCGGTAGCGGAGCAGAGCAGAAGCGGAAGCGACCGGCTGGCCGGCGTCGGGCGCTGGGTGACTCCTGCGCGGCATGCGCAAGCGCGGCAGCATGGCATGTGGCAAGCAGAGCGCAATGCAAGAAGCGGCGCAGTGGTGAGTGCGAGCACTGGGGCCGGGTAAGTAGAAAATCGACACCGAATTCGTCGGCTCTCTGTTTTGTGATTAACCGATCGGTTTGAAGATCTCATAAAACGAAGTTTCCAAAAACAGAATAAACCGAACCGAGCTATCGGATCGGTTAAAACCGATTGCCCAGTCTGAGATCTCCTGACACGGATCGGATCCACGTATCTGCAGTATATAGGCTTAAAGTATGGCATAAATAAAAAAAGAATTACTGACCTGCTGACCTGCAACCAGAGGTGGGCTCAGCGGGTAGTCCAGGTAGCCCTGGAATTTGGCCCAAAATGTTTTTAAGTACTCTGCGCACAGTCCACGAGAATCTGGCCTGTTCGTCATCTCTCCCAATCTGCGCACTCTCGACCGTGAGCCCGCAGCCGTCTCGGCGTCTCCCTTCCCTCCCGACGCGTGCGCGACGAGATGGCCGTCTTCCTTCCGGTTCCCGACCCCCGACCGCCCCAGGCCCCCACCCGGCCCACCCAGCCGTCGGCGGTCGCCGTCCTCCCCCGGCCGCGCCTGCGCCTTGCGGTCGTGCCCGCCGGCTCCGCCGCTGGCCAGCCCCCCCCCACCCCACTTCGGGACGGGCGGCGACGGGCCGGCCGCCACTCCGCCATATATCTCGGCGCTGGCAGCATACTAACGCCGGCACCTTCAGTGGTGGCCGAGAGAAGCTTCTTGCATGTGACCGTCCGCCCATCCTCTGGTGCCCTCTGTTTGGACTAGACGCCGACGCATGGTGAGTTTCTCCACTGCAGCACTGCTTTCTCCCCCATTGTTTTATGCAGTTAAGCCTTAGGGTTTGGATATTGGAGATTTGAGATTGGACTGTAAAAGCTTAGGAATTGTGGATCTATCATCTGTGAGCCTAGAATTGAATCAAATTTGTTATCATTTTTTAGGAAGTTGAGGTATGAAGAAATCAAGCACACATGCTATGGTTCTAACTTTAGAGTCATTTGAATTAGTTTTCAATGCAATGAGAAAGCACAAAGCAAAAGCCTTGAACTAGAACTACTATTGTAGTCTCTTATTTATGTAAGGCCTTATCTTATCTATGTATGATCTATTTGTGCAAGTTTTGAACCTATTTACGTAAGTTTTGAACTTTTTAAATGTATTATCGCAATTTGGTTAATCTATAGCCATTTTACTGAAGTTTTCCTTTGGATTTTATCGTATTGCACATGAATTTTTTTTTACTAGGACTACCCTGATTCAAAATCCTGGGCCCGCCACTGCCTGCAACGTTGCTTTTCTGGTTATGACCCAACTTTTTCCTTCTTCAGTTCTGCATCAATTCTGGAAAGATGTTGCCAAGCAAGAGGGGTGCTGATGATCTCACAAGATTCTCAACTGACTCATTGATTTCAGGTCTGCTGGTTCTTCCTTTTTCTTCATGTTTTTTATGGCTCTATTTGAGCACTCACGGCTGTCTTGTATCGTGTTTTCTAACTTGTTGCTTATTTTGGGACAATCAAGGTTTCTGGAGTGAGCTGAGTTACGAAGTTGCATCAAAGTTGTCTAGAAGTGTTGTCTCAATTGCTTTGTCCCATGGTGATCTTGTAGGGCAAAATGTGCTATTTGCATCCTCTGGCATAGCTATAGAATGCCAGCCTAACTTCACAAAGTTTGTGACGTCAGTAATTTTGGTTAGAGCTTTAAATGATGAAAGAAATGGCCATGATAACATTAAGGTTGGTGCTGAATCATTTACTAATTGTTCTTTTTTTACTTTACATAACTGTGATCATTCTGTGCTGTTTCCTTGCTTTACTATTATAGATTGAAGTACGCCATGGAGGAAATGTTGCCATAGGGACTGTGGTAGAATATGACCTGGATCATGTAATTGCTGTTGTCGAAGTCACGTCCGCCCTTGATGTTTATTGCGTACCTCTCAGTTATGCGGAGGAATTGATGCCTGGTAGAAAGGTTGTGGCAGTAGGGCGTGACATCTCTGGCAAATTAATGGCCACAAGTGGGACACTTACTGCTTCAGGCCCTAAAGATTGTGGACACCTTATGTTCTCTACATGTAAATTATCTGAGGTACACTTGCGTTATTATGAGTGCTATAATCTTTTCTTTTACTATATGCTCTAAACTGTGTCTCATATTCAATAAAGAAAATGTTAATTTACTCCCTCTGTTTACTTTTATTAGTCGCTGTCGACTGTAATGCAAAAGCTTGGCCTTATTCTTTTCAAAATGTATACTTGTGCAGTTAAGTTGAATGGTTTTCATAGTGGTTGAGTTTGCAGTGGAACATACTTCAAAGATATCATACATTTTAAAATATAAAATAGTACTCCTTCCAGTCCTTATTACTTGACGTCTGGGCACAAGAATATGTCAAGTAATAATGACCGGAGGGAGTCGCATTTAGAATTTGCACAAGACAGTCAACAGTGGCCAGTAAATGTAAAGGTGGGAGTAACTCTTATTACCTGGTCATTTTATTCTGTTCCATTGTAATCCTTGTTGCTTGCCACATGTTTTTTTGTTTGTTCTAGGTTATGCAGGGGGGCGCACTTTTTGAATTTGATGGGAACTTTGTTGGCATGAACCTTTTCTCGAATATGAAAAGACCCATATTCATGCCAAGGGATATAATTTCTGATCGTTTGAACCATTTACAGACATCCATGGAAAAGATAACATTTCTTGCGATGATGAAGTCAGTCAGGTGTGCCAATATATTTCCAGTTTGCTTGTCTATGTTTGTAGTTGCAGCTTTCAGTGTTTACCCTTAATAATAACTTGATGCTTTGGTACCTCTAGCGTAAGATATTATCAAATAGGTCAGCTGTACTTGGCATGTGTGACAGTTGCTCTGTATTGTAGAGTAGCCATTTTCCTGTGTATCACATATTGAAGCCAACGTATTTGTTTACCCTTAATAATAACTTGATGCTTTGGTACCTAGCGTAAGATATATCAAACAGCTGTACTTGGCACGTGTCACAGTAGCTCTGTATTGTAGAGTAGAGTAGCCATATTCCTGTGTTTCAAATATTGAAGCCAACATATTTGTCTAATTCAAAATATGTTAGAATATTTTGTTGAGATTAAAATATGAACATTACAAGGGAGTATGGACGCTCTTGACTATCAAGATTTTGTTTAACTGGATACCACCCGTTTCTCTAACTGGTGGTATAGGGCTGTCAAAAGAGTGCCGGGCGGCGCCAGGGGTATGCCCTGGTATGCCATGGAATACCCAAGACTTTGATGAGAAAAATAAATATATATACTAGTATACATGTGCAACCTATTGTTTAATTGGATTAAAAACACACGAATCAACTAGCAGCCCAGTAGCCCACAAGAAACAGCCCAAGTAGCCAGCGTCCGGTCTGCTGTTGGCTGTCGCTGGTGGCCGGTGTTGAAGCCTTGAAGGCTTACTCGGTATCCATTCTCTAGATTTTAGGCCTCTAGGCACCACCGCACCAGGTAATGATTTAACTTCTCTAATTTAGAACGGATCACAATCTTGATTGATAAAATTTAGAGCAAAACGCTATGTGTTTGATAAAGGGCCTGTTAAGCTGCTTATGGTCGAAATAAGCTGAAACCAACGGCCAAACGGTAAGCTTTTTTGCAGCTTATTGCGGCCGTGCTTATTCCCACCACTCTCATTTGTACTAAAAAGCAGAAACTGCATTAGACCAGCTTATTTTGGCCGTCGCTTTTACATTATTTGTGCAACTTATTGGGAAACCCTTTCCAGATAAGCTGTACCAAACAGGCATATTCTTGGCAATTCTTGTAAAAAGATGGGAATTCTTAGAGTAGCTCAGGCTGAGGAACTAATTGATAAATGTTATGGTATTAGTACACTGTACACTTTTGATTATTGTTATGGACCTATATTTGAATATATTGTATATTAGTATAGTAATTTTTTACGTGGAAGCGGTAGAGTCTTACTGCCTGTGACCGGAAGGTCCCAGGTTCGAGTCGCGGTCTCTTCGCATTGCACATGCGAGGGTAAGACTTGCCACTAACACCCTTCCCCAGACCCCGCACAGAGCGGGAGCTCTCTGCACTAGGTACACCCTTTAATTTTTTACGTGGAATACCCTGATGTAAAAATCTGGCTCCACCACTTGAGTGCCCAAGGAGCAGAAGAGTGGTCTCAATTCTCTGATTATCCTAGTTGCATGGGAATTATGGAAACATATAAATGATTGTGTATTTGAGGTATAGAGTCCTACTGTGGAGGTAGTCTTGCAAAAGATTGCCAATGAGAGCAGCCTTTGGTGTATGGCTGGAGCTTCTGCTCTCCAGGAGCTCCTTTGCAGGTTGCTCGGTCTTGGTCCTTAATTTGGGGCAGGGTAGTCGTTGGTTGTCTTTTTTTGTGCGTGGCGCGTCTGTACCTTTGTTTTTCAAGGATGTCTGTGGTGGGGTGTTTGGAGGGGTTTTTTTTGGCCCTTTGAATTGTGTTTTCTTACCTCCAGAGGCATCGGTGCGTAGTGGAATCCTAAGCCAGGATAGTAACGTAAAGAGAGGCAGAGGAAGACTGAAGTTGACTTGGGTAGAGGCAATAAAATGAGACTTAAAAGGATGGAATATACCCAAAGACTTAGCCTTAGATAGGAGTGGTTGGAAAACAGCTATTCACGTGTCTGAACCTTGATTGCTTTTGCTGGGTTTCAACTCTAGCCTACCCCAACTTGTTTGGGACTTAAAGGCTTTGTTGTTGTTGTTGTTGTTGTTTTGTATTGTGTTTTCTTCTCTCAATGAAATGACATGCAGCTCTCCTACGTTTTTCAAGAAAAAAAAGATTTTGTTTAACATTTGCTCAGTTCTTGTATTATTACACTATCTACTCGTGCTGATCCCTTTTGGGTTAATACTCGTATTAATGTTTTATCTACAGGCATAGAAAAAGACTCACAGGTGTGGAACTTCGCTCGTATCCTGAAGGTGAGTACACAACCACCCAATATTGATCACGAAATGTTATTTAATTGTGCAGCTCATCACTGTTTCTAAGGTCCTCTAGTGGTTCAAATTAAGCCTTTACATTTGTACTTCTATATAGCTAGTTTAGTCTTCTACAGTTATATTATAGTGTTAAGAGTTAATCCATTAACATTACTTGAGCACTAGCGATTCAGCCAATGCCTGTGTGTTGTGATCACAAAATAAGTGTACATCAGGTTTTGATTTTGAAAAGTAATTTTACTCTGGTCTAAAAATTTCTATACGTGTAATCATATCAACTGGCTCCTACATATACACATACGCAGATAGTACAACACTATGCTATAAAATGCTACACATACATCCTTCTTAAATCCATCCAGAAAGATCTGGATTGAGTGTGCATAGAGCACACCATGACCATCAAAGCTCCTTGAAGAGTAGAGATGGCATGAGTTGCTGCACAAGTTGCCATAACATTTTAATCTTAAAGTTATTATGTGGAGAACTTTAAGTGACTGTTAAATGCTGTACTTAGAATTAACACATGTCAGTGCTAATCAACCTTGTTGCACCAGGATAAGCAAAGGTGCAATTTGGGTTTACACTTTGGGTTATCTCAGTCCATCAAGGGACGTGGTCATGAGTCAATGCCTGCTGAGTTATCACGCGCTGCGCATTTTTACAGCCCTGCTGTCCCACTAACTATTATACGATATCTTGTCTACCAGGTAGCATGAATGTTAATACTTTTGAAGAAAAGTTTGGCGACAAATATCCTACTGGTGTCTGGGGTAAATTCAAGAAAGAAATTTCTTCTAACATATCTGACATTGTTGTCGCACTTGCTTCGTTCCATGGTGATTTCACAGTGATGCGCTATTTACTATTTCACATTTATGTTCAGTTATCACTAGCTAATGGCAGTTATGGTGTCCAGGTGAATCAAAGTTCTTTGCATGCACAGGATTTTTCATTAACTATGATGGATGTCCGACTATTCTGACCTCAGCCAGCTTGGTTAGGGATCCCGATGGCGCAAATGAGATTGTGAGCGGCTTAAGGGTTGGTACTTCGAATTTTACTGTGATTCTTTTTCGTCCAAGACACTGCTTAAGTCTCATTGTATTGTTTGCAGATTGAGGTGTTGCTTCCAAACAACGAACAGACTGTAGGGGAATTGGAACATTATAGTTTACATTACAATATTGCTCTAGTCAGCGTCAAGAATTACAATGTTGAGTGTCCTGTGAAGCTGGAACCTGAGTCGATATGTTATGATGAAGTGGTAGTAGCTGTGGGCCGTTTCTTTGAATCAGGTATATTAATGGCTACAAGTGGGAAATACATCCAAGACTATGACGAGGTGTCAAGCGATTTGGATTGTGAATATCTTTGGTACACTACGTGTAGAACCACTAAGGTAGCACCCTTGCCTTTTCTTTTTTAGTTGCCTAATCTAGCCTACCCCAACTTGTTTGGGACTGAAAGGCTTTGTTGTTGTACTTTTATCAGAATATGATGTACTTAGCCTTACATACTTGGCGTCACAACTGACCTCTCCATATAACCTGATTAGGTTGTTATTGGAGGTCCCCTTGTTGATTTGAATGAAAAATTTATGGGCATCAATTACTATGATATAGAAATAGGAACCCCGTTCCTGTTTTTTCTTGATATCTAGAAAATTTTGGATGATTTGAAGACAAAAAAGTAAGTGTACATTTCTCTTTTGGTATTTAAGTTGTTATGTTAGTGCTGGTATACAGATTTAGTTTTGCACATGACTGCAAGATTTGTTTGGGCATTTGATCAATAATCTAGTTGGAGGTAAAATCAACATAATATTCTATTAAATCTTGTATTCTGCGTGTTTGACAGGGCGATGATTGGTGGTCATGAGGGCCGTGTGGAAGATGACAACGGACCACCAAACAGGTATGTAGATACATCTCATCGATCTCACTATTATTATGTAATAACCATATATTGTTTAGAAATTTGCTGACCTGATGATGACGTGGGAAAATATATCGTTGAATGGCAGCTGGGTATTGCCTGCCTGATCCAAGGTGGTATGGATGAAGATGAAGATTAACGTGCAGCCGGCATCAACAGCAACAGATTAGAATAATTGCTGCATACTAGTAGCCTTCGTTTGTTTTTTGAGGATTAATAGCCTTCGTTCTACTCCGCTGAATTGCTATCTGCATGCCGTAAACTTGTTTTATCTGGATTGGATTGGAATCCCTGTAGTATCTTAATAGAATATTTGAACTGCTGTCTGTTGCTAAGATATTTTTTTGGTTGATGCTCCTTGCTTGAGAAACAAGACCTTTACTACTAGTCAGCAACATATTATTATAAGCTTACATATGCAAAATTTGGCGTCCGGCAGCATTAGCCTCGGCAAAGTGGTCCTATTGTACAGTATTATTTTACGTGGCATTTAGGCCTTATTTGGAAGCTTGAATTATTTTCAGGCTGCATCGATGATTATTATCGTGTGGTATTGGGGGTTGAGGATAATACTCTTTCGGATCTAGTTGGGCCTGCATTTGCTGGCCTGGTGTAGCGTATACGGTGAAATTTAGGCCCGGTGGAAATGTCCCATTTGATTGTAGCTCCCGGGCTAAGCTCGGACGGAGGATGCAGCCGCCGCATGGTGTGAGGAAATTTTCTCCTCTAGTGTGCAAACAATTGAGAACTGTTCAGACGGGCAGAATTCATGGAACATAATCAACTATGTGTCTGATTGGTCACTCGAATGACCCTAGCCTCGCTCGTATCTGTGAGCCAGGCTAGAGGTGCATGCAATGCAAGGTCCCCGTGTTTGCTTACTTCCATGCACATAGCCTGGCTAGGAAGAAAAGTTGTTTGGTTGCGCTTGCATCAACTAGTTGGTTTGAAAATCAAAATGTCATGCAAGAGACTTTGTTTGGTTAGGCACACCTATCTGATGTGGTGATAATACCTCCATCACTCCTCAAAGTTGTCAAGTCTCAATTCAAACATATTAAACCATCTTGTTGGGAAGCAAAATAATGAGTAATGAGCATCTTCAAGAGTGCCAAAAAAATTCTTCCCAGACCATTGAGTTTTTCAAGTGGCTAAAAAGTATTGGGAGCACCAAATAAAGGTTTCTCCAACAGTTTCCAAAAAATCACTCGTAAAGGTAATTTTACATCAGAATCGCGAACTATTTCTAAATCACCTCCAACCACTTTTATACTTTATTTCTCTCTTGTATATTTGTATCAGGAACCCTGTCCTACTTCTTATTCTTTTCCACATCCGTCCACCTTAGATTGACACGATAGATAGGCGCACATATTTATCCGCGTGTCGGGGTTGATTTTTTCAAGTGCCAAAAGATTGGGAGGTGGAATCGAGAGTTGTCGGAGATATTTTTTTTCCAATTGCCAAAAATCATGGATGGGGAGATAGTTTTTGGAGATGCTGTAAGTAAAAATTAATCACTAAGCTAGAATTTACTAGTTGATCCATGGTGTAAGTATAGAAAGCATCTGATGCACAAACTCTGATCTGAGGGGCACATAAACCACCTCATGATGGACTTATTAAGGCAAGCCAAGAACGCGTATCCTATCCCTGCAGTGCAAATTTGAGAAGGAAAGGTGAGGCATAGGTAGCAAGGAATCACACGAGATTTTCAGTTGAAAGTAGGCTTTCAAGCGGGGTGGGTAATTACCGCAACCTACTAAACCGGCCCCGCAAAATCATCTTCGTGGCTCATCCGGACCAGCTGCCATCGCTTTGCGGTCAGCCTGCCAAGCCCGCAAGAGCCCACTTGTGTCCGCAAGAGACTGCAACCCGCCGTCCTGCACCTGTGTCAATGCCGACGCTCGGATAGCGCTGCCGCTGGATGCCTACTTTCGCTGCCACTTAACCGTGGCAGGCCTTGTCGAGGCGTCTGTCCCGCTCGAGCCTGCAACGATGCATCTCTACTGAATACTGATCGAAGACATGCGCCCTGGCTTATAAGCCGTACTTATTCAGCCAACCAATATTATTTTTCTTTCACAATAAATCAGCCAATAGTACTTTCAGCCATGGCTTATCAGCCAAGCGAACAGAGCACATGCATGCTGCTGCATACCGGTCGTAGCCAAGGACGAAGATCACCCAGAAGATGCCCCCCTGAGCGATCTAGTGCACCGGCCATACTGCCGAACTGTCCATAGCAAACGCGGCCACGACCATGGCCAACCCAGCCGCCGCTGACACGTCGCACGCCACGTACCATAGTGACCTCCACGGGTTTTTACGCCAGCAGTGCGCTGGCACCGCCGCCCACACGTCGCTCATCTTGAAAGGCGGTGCATGGTTTCCGGCCGCCGTCGAATATCACTGTCGTCTTCACTTTCTCATAGGTGGCGGCAACCTGTGAGTTGATTGACGACGCCCGGGTGGCCCCTCCCTCTATCCCCATTAACTTCAAAGGGATTCATGTGCCACTTCTTTATTCATTATCACATGCTACTGAGACGCTAGTTGCGGGTGTTTCGAGTTGCCACCGATAAGTAAATTTCTAATATTGCGCGTCTGGCTCGGATGGTGTGTTAAGAGGACACGAGGTTTATACTGGTTCGGATAGAACGTTCCTACGTCCAGTTCGTTACTGCTGCTCGTGTTACTAGCACTGAAAGTTCATAGTAGGGTTACAAACGGTCGAGAGAGGGACATGTCCCAAGTCTCTGGAGAAAGGAGCGAACGGGTGCCGAGAGCTCGGTTGCTTCTCGGCTGTGTACTTGTGTGTTCTGATCGGTTCGGGGCTCGATGGGTTCGAGTCCGAATCGATGTGATGTGTTGCGATGCCTCTTATGGGATGCCCTGCTTTCCCTTTTATAGGCCAAGGGAAAGCATGGGTTACCGCGGTGGAAAAAGAAGAACGAGAGAGAGAGCCGAAGGCCTTCAGGATCATCGGGTCCTTTTTCTCCTTCATGCGGGTCCCGCCGACCCTGTAGATGTCAATAGGGACAGCTTTGCGTCGCGGTCCTGCCCGTCATGAGCTCCACGCGCAGGCGTCATATGCTAGTCATGGCGCTTCACTCCGTCCTAGCGACCGTCGTGGTGAACTGACACGCCCGTCAGTGTTCGTATGGGGGTTAGGCAAAACAGCACCGGTATGCCCGACGTGTTCTTGATGTGAACCATCCGGTATGGTCCGTCAAGGCCATGGGTTACATCAGGGCATGTCGGTCTCTTCCCTGGTGTCAGAGCTTTGACTCAGGCCCATACGCTTGGACCTGGAGTAGTTGGCGGCGGTATGGGTCTCCGTTGGGCGAGGCGGAGCCCGCGGCCCCGGGGTCGGGCGAGGCGGAGTCCTCCCCCAGAGGCCGAGGCGAGGCGGAGCGCAGACCCAAGGGTCGGGCGAGCCGGAGTCCTGCCCCAGAGGCTAGGCAAGGTGGAGCGCAAACTCGAGGGTCGGGCAAGGCGAAGCCCGTGGCCTCGGGGCCGGGCGAGGCGGAGGGTAGACCCAAGGGTCGGGCGAGGCGGAGCCCGCGGCCTCAGGGTCGGGCGAGGCAGAGTGCAGACCCAAGGGTCGGGCGAGGCGGAGCGTAGACCCAAGGGTCAGGCGAGGCGGAGCCCGTGTCCTCGGGGTCCTCCCCTAGAGACCAGGCGAGGCGGAGCCTGCTTCTAGAGGTCGGGCGAGGCGGAGCCAGCCCTCAAAGGTTGGGTGAGGAGGAGCTTGCGCACCTGGGGGTCGGTTGGAGCTGTAGTCACGCTCTTGACTGCTCAGGTGAATCAATGTTGATGGTTATTAGCTTCTCCTCTTTGGGTACCCTAGTATTGGTCGCCGACAGTAGCCCCCGAGCCTATGGAGGAGTAGAATACTCCTTCGGAGGCTTTTCCAAACGGGAGGACTCTGAAGGCCTCGGCCTTCTTTTGTTACCATAGCGTGACCTAGGGGCGGTGATTTCCTTTCCTCGAGCCCCCTCCCATAGCAGGGGCCCGGTCGAGGATCGATTCGTCTTTGCGATTGTCTTTCCTCAAGAGTTTTTTTCTGAAAAAAATGGAGGGGCCGAGCCGTGCCATGATTTTCTCTAAGGACGAATCATGGCACCCGGTGAGCTATTAATGGGCTAGTCTGAGTGGGCCCCCCGGCATCCCATTCATGTGGATCCGGCTTGGGTCAGCTTGGTGACTGAACCTAGATTCTCAATGGTCAATCCATATAGTTCTCGAGTCCGTTCGACCGGTCCTGAGGGCTAAGTACCTTTCTTCGAAAAAAACCATGGATCGTAATCGGACGAGACTCGAATGTGGGCCAGGATGCCCGTAGCGCTCGTGCGCCTGGGTACTGGCCGCTAGCGGGCCCATCCCTTTCCACCTCTCACCCTAAAAGTGCCTGGAGCGGTTGTCGAACTCGTTGATGGGCCGACCTACGAACTCCTGGGCCCAGTCGGGCCATAGAGGCGCTTTTAGATCCGTATTCTTCTTACTCATGATGAGTCATGGCCCATCTAGAGAGGCAAAACGTCTGGCGAGTTTTCCGAGGGCACAGATAGAGATTGCGTGCGCACGTTCCGTGGTGGGACATTGTGGCAGATCGTGGCAGGCGCGGAGATCTAGGCAGGTGGTTGGTTTCCTCACATCCGTCACCCCTATAAAACCAAAGGGTTTGCCCCTCGGATTCCATACCTTGCATCCTTGCCTCCA